CATCATGATCTGATGTCAGAGAGCTGGGAGAAGCATGAGCTCACTCTTGCGTAGTGACTCTTGGGTACTCTTGAGAACTCCTTACTCTGCATTTCCCACGGTTGTGCAAATGCCACGGTGACATACACCTAACTGCCATGAAGCTGGTCCATAAAATCCACATTATTAACGCTTCCTAGTAGTTGGAGGAAATATACAGTTCTATTTCTGGAAGAGACTTCATAATGAGCCTTCCGTCTTTTCATCTGTCACAGACTGTAGCAAAAAACAAAGCTCTTATGACCGGGCTAGTGACACAGATCAGCTGGTAGAGCGCCTGAGGAGGGTGCAGAAGCCCTGGCTTCAATGCCCAGCACCACATAAGCACAGTGCAGTGGCCCATGCCTGAAATCCCAGCACTCAGGAGGACAGAGGCAGAAGGTCAGAAAGTCACAGTCGCTCTTGGTTCTCTGTCTTAAACACACACACACACACACACACACACACACAAACACACACACACACACACATGATATCCATCACTTCAGCAATCTCGGTTAAGCCAGTTTTCAAGACTAAATCCTACCTCTAGGCCACTTTGGCATCCAAAAGTCTCTCCTTCCAGTTTTTGCTTTCTTTAAGCTTTGGGAGGGTAGAAAGCTGTGTTAATGAGAGGAGTAAGATAATAGAGTCTTATTTGACCTTTGGAAAGTTGGCTCTCATAGCCTCATCATAAAAAGGATTCCAAGCCACAGGTTTTTTTTTGTTGTTGTTGTTATTCAGAATGAATGTGTAGGCTGGAGTCTGTTCTCGGGCCGTAAGTCAGCTTTTGTTTTCTCCTAGCTGAGTGTGCTAAGGGAAGTTCACCTTAAATGGTAGTTGCTCTGCTTTATTTGCTGTTTTATGCGAGTCTTTGCTAAGCCTTTCTTACTAAATTCTTAGACGTTTATTCAAGATTGCCATTTCCACCGATCTACATCCAGCAGCTCTGCTGGCACCCCACACACCTGGCAGCTGGCCACTGTGGCAACGTTAAGATTACCTCCTCCCAGGAACTCATTAAAGCCGCATTTGATGGCGTCAATTGGAGTCATTCCACCTTCACCCAACAGGTATTTATAGAGCAACTACTCTGAGCATGATGAGGAATCACAAAGGCAGCTAAGGCATGATTTCCCATTTTTTCATCTACTGAAATAAAATTTTTAGTTATTTATCTTATATGAATGAGTGTTTGCCTGCATGCATGGATGTGTGCTACATACATGCCTGGTACTTCCAGAGTAAGAAAAGGGCATCTGGTACCAGGACCCTGGAGTCACACGTGGCTGTGAGCTGGCCATGTTAGTGCTGGGAACTGAACTCCAGAGTTACGCAAGAGCAGCAAGCAAGCTTAACTGCTGAGCTGTCTCTCCAGTCCTTCATCCCCAGGCCTGTTAAAAGGACTTAAACATAGCAAGTCCAGGCATCAGTTTCCTTTCCTGTTGTTATGCTAAGAACTGGATCCAGGTCCTCACACATGCTAGGCAAATGTTCTACCACCGAGCCAAATCCCCAGCTCTTCAGTTTTCTCCCTTGATCCTCTGGAGAGACTGGCTCCTAATATTTGCCAGAAGTAAGACATTCTTTCCTTGTTATTTATAACTAAGACCATAGCTCATCTGCTTCTAATATTCTAATCTTGCTCTTGCCTGTGGGCTTTGTTTTACTTCTGGTAGGAGTGGCTGCATGGAAGGAGCCCAGGGCCGGGCGGACTAACAGAAGTTTCCACTGCTGAATTGCACCTGTTATACCTGCCCGGCGGTAGAGCTCTCACAGTTGGACTTGATCACAGCTTGAAAACAAAACCAAACCTCATGATAAATGTGAGGTGATGACGTCCAATTCAATAAAAAGGAATGAAAACTGTTCTAGCTGCGTATTCTAAGTGTGGAGATAAAAACAGTAAGACTGCATTTTATTCCTTCCTTGTGCTCAAAGGCTCTCGGAAAGGCAGACCTGGGCAAAGCAGTTGTCCCTGGTGGATGATATCAGAAAGAATGTGAATGCTCACCAGATGGACAGCACATAGATGGGGTCCTGTGCATTAGGAGCATCCTGTATGGAGCCTGCAGGATGAAGAAGTGTGTTAACAGTCTGTGAAGAATCAAGAGTTGTGTCAAGTGGCTATGCCTGGTCCTGAGAGACCTAGGTCAAGAAGTTTGGGTGAGTTCTGCCACTGGGAGTCAAATGAAGAAAGAGGATTCCTTTAGGTGAGTGGAATGATTAATTGAAATTTTATAAAGAATATTCTGGCTGCCATGATTGCGATAAATTAGATGAGAGCAAACTAGAAGGAGGACATTTTGGAAATTTGAAAGGACCATACTGGGCCAAAAATGGCTTGACAGGCCATAGGCCCTGGAGGAGAAGCTAGTACTATGATTCTAAGTAGACACAGTCGTAAATCAATTCCTCATGCCCTGGTGTTATACCTACAGATTAAGGCAACTCTCAGCTCTTATCAGAGAAGTGTCTGTTTGCAATAAACAAGCAACACAGAAACCTGCAACTTGCCAAGGTGTAAGGAGAAGAGACCTCAGAATGTTCAGCACTGAAGAGAGTAAGCTCCCTCACAGTCCTCCTTCCAAGTCTTAGGGATCATTGCAGAAGAGGGGCTGAAGAGACCTTAAGGCTCAGAGGTGTGGATGCCTCCAAGGAGACTCTCTCCTGGACACAGCGCAGCAGTTACACAAATGCACTCAAAGTAATTGTGACGGTGTGCACAGCATCCGTCAAGCCCATGCCAGAGGAAATCCCAGCATGGAGAAGAGCTGGGCTCTAAGTTCCACTAAGAGCTGAGGAGCGACTGTTAACAACTGATAGCTTCCGGGAAAGCAATGGTTCATTTTCTTTGAATGCAGAGCCCATGATGGGTCCATCAACCTCCTGTGGGAGTCCACATATTAAAGAGTATTTAGGCAGCTGGCCTTGATGGGGGAAAAAACCCCACAAAACTGGGTAGGAAGGGAAGGGGGGATGGATCTGGGGAGAGATGGAACAGAGAGGATGAATAGGATCTAAACTCATTGTACAAAATTCTCAAATGACATTTAACTGTGCAGCAGGAACAGAGAGACAACATCAGCAGAGCCTGAGGATTGTGAAGACACTGCAGAGATGTGGTGAGACCAAGTTCAGGGTGATTCCGGTCTCTACCTTTGGTGGTCAGCTGTGTGTTGGTGTTACACCCAAACCCAGAACTGTCAATAGAGGATAAAAAGATGTTCAGGACTCTACAGTTGGATGGCCAGTCCAAAGATCTCCAGAGGGGTCATAGTCAAAGAGCTGGCAATCATGGCCTTGAGCATTTTTATCTGTGGATGATGGCTGGAGTCCTAAATAGAAGTGTCCTGAGTGAGGAGAGATAAGTGACAAAGACAATGACAAGGTGTACCCATGAAACTGCAACCATACGGCCTGTACAAGCAAGGCCTCTACAGTGACAACACTAGTCAACACGCCAACATGATAGATGGAACGTCACAGGGCTCCAGCCCTAGATGGAGAATTACAGGCAATCAATAGCTGCTGAGAGAGGGGGAATCGTTCTCCAGGGACATGCCCCCTGACAGGTTTCAATGAAATCTTAGGTGGCCAGTCACCACACACACACACACACACACACAATTATAAATATGAGAGAGAGTAGGGAGGGAAGAAGAGGGGGTGTAAATGGTGTAAAAAAAATATAGTCTTGTATAAAGTTCTAAAATTCTAATTTGTAAATTTTAGATTAAAAGTTATGTTTAAAAAAAAAGAACATTTCTTCTCAGCAAAGTGGGCACAGACACACTACAGGGAGTCATGACTGGCTGGAACACAGACAGTAAATATACAAACGTGGAAAGCTTCCTCAGATCGCTGGAGCTGCGTACAGTAACATAATATGAAACGCAGAATTAGCACAGTGCTGGCCAAGCCTCACTCATTGTTCAGAGGATGGTTGGAAACACACAAAGTAGTAACATCATTAATAATAATAACAATAAGAAGAATTTCCATTTGTGAGACCTCTGTAAACTGAAATCTCATAATGTCTCATGAACACGTTTCCTTTATAATGATTTACAATGAAAAGTATTATAAAAAAAATCATTCTAATCCAACCACAAATGGTTTTGAGGCATTTCACCAGCTGGCCACTTATTCTATCTTTATTTAGTGAGCCCCTATTCTACAGCAGCTACCGGGGCTAGTACGCGAAGACCTAGTGGTAAGAAACAGAAAATCTGACCTCGGAAATTTACAGTTCACACATTAAAGACTGTGATGAAGCATCTTTTCTCTCAGGGGCAGGACTTCTCTGTTAGTGAGGACACCAGAAAAGCGGGTCGCTTCACAGAAAACCTGTCAGCTCCTAGTGTTTCTTGTGAATCTCCGTTTCTCCAAAGCTGTTTTGGTCTCACTCTGACACTGCTGCGAAGTTCACTGGGAAATCTGGAACAAGCAAGCACGCGCCCTCTGTGTCAAAGGTCGGCACACAGGCCTGCGAACTTAGATCAAGAATAAAGCTTTCTGGTCCGATAAATAAAGAAGCTGCAGAGCAACAAGCCTGGCTCTTCCTCCGTCCACGCATAGCAGCTGTCAGACAGTTCTGGACAGACTACCCCTCCTGTTCCTGAAAAGCGATAGTCATCGCTACACCACTTCCAAAGGAAGCACATTTTAATTAAAACAAAAAACAAAATAAAATAAAAAAGTCGTGAGTGACACTTCAACAAATATTAACTTTTGAAACGCCCATGTTTACATTTGTAATTTCCCCCTATCTGAAGCCTCCCCTGCTGACATCCTGATAAACGCTAAAAGAAGGGAAACAATCTAAAGGCAGGATGGGCGTGGCCCCGTGGAGGTCACCGTGGATAAAAAGAAAACGCGGCTATTTATGTGTAGCGGGCAGTCATTAGGCTACTGGGCTGAAAGGAATTATGCCGCTTGGTCCCTTGGTAACAAACTTCAAAAGAAGCAGCCCCATTTTTAGGCTCTTACGTTTAGTTGTTACTTCACAAGAAGGCAGGTAGTTCTGCACACACATCAAGCAGCCGGAGGCTCCTCCCCTTTGGGGAAAAACCCCCCAGATTCCTAAGTGCAGTGTTCAAAACGCGCATTTGCCTTATTTAAATTTTATTAGTAGTAATATGCCAATAGAACAGGGATAACAAAAAAGACAAGTTCAGGATAAATAACTTCTTCCTAACTAATTAAAAACACGTGCATACACACGCATCCTCTGAGTGAACTAATTCCCACAGCTACACAATACAGTTTTCAGAAAAATGTGTGAGCAGTGGCTCTTGCCGGCTGGGTAAGGGCCCCTGGACAAGCCCTGCCGCTTCTCAGCCTAGATCACTAACTTCTCCACGCTAAGTGTACTTGTGGTTTCGTCCTCTTCGTTGGAGCCGAAGTAGCCCGGGAGGTCCAGCATCCTCTGCTCAGCTTCAGTGAGGCGGAAGGAGCTGTTGTCGTAGAAGGCGAACTCTGGGTGGACCGGGAAGCTCTGGCATTTGTCCTTTCTGCAGTGAGAAGGGCTGAGCTGACTGACCTTCTGGTAGCTGTCTTTGAGGAAAACGGGGGAAGACTGCTTGCGTGAACCGCTCCTGTGAGCCGGGGACGGCCCCCTGTGGGCGCGGTGGGGTTCCATTTTCTCAGCCCCGGCCACCAATCCTGCCTGGCGACCCCCGGGCTCCGGCTTCCTCCTAGGATGCCCCACGGTGTAGGATTTAGAGACGGGGCCCAAAGGACTGCTGGCCCGCGCCGCCCCTGGGAAGGGTTCTGGTCTCTCCGGAAGCAGGTGGGCACTTCGGCTGGGAGGCCTGCACCTGTCCTCCGTCTGGTCCCAGGTTCGCATCCTGCAACTGTAGGCGGGGGCCTGGCGGGGCGTCAGGGCTGACAGGCTCCTCTCCCGGAAAGGGCGGGACTGCTTGGTCTCGTGAAAACTGGCAGTCCTCCTGAAGAGGGCACTTCTGGAGTGGCACCGCTCAGACGAGCCGTCCCTCCCCGCAGCCGACCTCATCTGCGACTTGCGGAGCAGGGTCTGGCTGGGACTGACCGCGCAGCTGGGCGGAGGCGGGACGAGGTCCAGCCTGGAGGGGGGCCTTTCCCCGGCACCCGCCGCAGGCTGGTCCAGAAACGGAGACTTGATTCGGAATTTGCTCGCTGCTGCTGCTGCTGCTGCCGCCGCCGCCTCTTCGGGGCACTCCAGGTCTAAGGGAGGGCTGGCAGCGGCATCCACCACGGTGTCTGTCAGGGGATTCTGAGACACGTGGTACACTTTGGTGGTCTCCGTCAGCCCTTTCTTCTTCATCTCCTTCAACTGCTGCTGGGCGAGGCGGTAGCTAAACAGGGGCGGGATGATCTTCTGCGCGTTGGACTGGAAGCTCTCGCTGCCCGAGGCCTCGTCCTCAGGAGGCGCTGGGGCGCTGCACCTGTAAGTCAACGGGATGCCCGTGTCCCCGGGGCTTCCTCTGGGTCCGTCACCCGCGTCCGAGAAGCTTCCCCGGGGCTCACTGAGCTCGCAGATGTTCTCCTCGTCCGAGTTCTTCCGGAAGCCAGGAGAATGGATGGAGTTGTGTCGAGCAGGGGTGCTGCACTTGGGGGCCCGGCCGAACCTCCTCCACAGGGTGATGAGCACCGTGGTGAGGATGATAAACAAGCAGAGGGATATCCCTGTGACGGTCACCACGTTGTTGGACTTCACCGGATCCGGGGGTGGACTAGGCGACGGGCCTGGCGGCCGGAAAACTTGAAGAAGAAGGGAAAAAAAAAGTTAAACCAAACATATTCTCCTATGTTGATTTCCCTGCGTGATTTTAGGGCCTAACTAGTCGCCCCAGTTGTCAGAGCAATTAAAGAGGAAGGAAAGAACTGAAGACTCTCCTGCTGAGAGCTGTAGGTAACAAACAAAAACAAACAAACAAAAAAAAATGGTTATCAGTAAAGAGAAAACCCTGCAAAAACCAGGGACCACAGAAAGGAGGCTGCCAGCGACTCCACAAGCCACAACCGAGCTGGAAGCTGTTACACATGCTATGTCTTTGTATTATTTTTTTTTTTAAGATCAGGGTCTTTTTTAATTTGTGTGTGTGTGTGTGTGTGTTTGTGTAATCACACACACACAAGAGATGGTGCCCTCAAGAGGCCAGAAGAGGGTTTAGATTCCCCTGAGTTACAGGAAGCAGAACTTCAGATCTCTGCAAGATGGATTGTAAACTTGACAGCCTTGGGAGGCTGGAGCCTCAGCTGAGGAACCTCCTCTGTCGCGGTATACTTTGGGCACACCCAGGGGCCTTTTTCTTGGTTACTGATCAGTGTAGGAGAACACAGCCCACAGTGAGCTATAATACCATCTGTGGGCGATTGGGGCTGGTCTGTGTAAGAAAAGCAGCTAAGAGTGAGTCTGGGAGCAGGCCAGCGAGCAAAGCTTCCTCCATGTTTCCTGCTTCAGTTCCTGCCTCCAGATTTCTGCCTTGGCTCCCCTCCATGGTGGACAGTAACGAAAGTGTGAGATAAAAGAAACGTTTTCTCACCCAGTCTGAAGGGGGAGGCCACCCTAAATGACCTAGGCATGTGAATGCCTAGGTGCTGGACCCAGGGCCTGAGTAAAGACGGGAAAAAAACTCATGGCTGCGCAGACCTGGGCCTCTGCACTTCCACAGTGTCCAACTCAGATTCCCACAGAGATCCTCTGCCGTTGTCCCTCCCTGCTTCTAGGAACACAGCAGCTGCTGCACCTCTGTTGGCCTCTTTCTCACACCAGCAGGGGGATGAGTGTGCTCCTGGGAAATGTGGGTGCACCCAACAAAGCTCTCTAAGCCTGCCCTCTCCAATGGATCACCCCTCTGCCCAATCACCCCAGTGCAGCTCCTTTTTCTCGGCATAGAAACACGCACACACTCACTCTTGCTACCTTAAAATGACCGTTCTCCAGCCCCACACTGCCACAGCCACTCATAGCCCTTGTCTTCCCTGCTCTGCTCAGCACAAGTTACTGACATACTGCTTCTCTATCACCAACTTGGCTTTCTGTAGTACAGTTCTGCCTATAATCATGAGTGACCTCCCAACAGTTCAGGCCCGCAGTGCTGCCTGCCATTTTGTGGCTCTTTCAACTCCCCGATTTGTTTTGGTGATCAGAATGCATTCTCTTAGGAAAGCATGACCAGAACCATCTTTACTTAATATCCCTGTAGAGGATGAATCCAGAGCCTCAGACACCTAAGGGTTCTTATCTCTGAGCTACACTTCTACCATTTCTCCCCCTCCCCCAAGAACCTGCGCCTTCTCCTGACACACCCAATTTTAAGGGAATATAGTTTTATAGGCCGTTAGAGTCCTGGCTTTCATCCTTCGTGCCTGTCTCTTGCCACATCCTGGACTTTTGCAACTCCCCTCTCCCTGAATCCCAATTGCCACCACTCAAGTTTTCACTCCCGGTACTGGAAAATCCTTAACAGGCACACTTTTCCACACCTACCCCTTTTTATTTGTATCCATGTTACAGCAAAGATGTATCTACAGCACAGGTTCAAACCTTTGAGGCCCTTCAGGATGCTTTATTCTTCCCTCGCCTCCCAGCTCACCAAGTGGCCACTGAGGTCAGTGTGTAGCAGCATTCCCATCACACATCACAAAGTGCTCTCCTTGCTCTATTCCCTTCTGACTCTGCCTGGCAGCTTCGGAGCAAACACAGCTGGAAAGAGCCACTGGCCTGGCCCATCCCTGTCTTATCTAACCCTTCCTGGGTCTCCTGAAGTGAAGGAGATGCCCTCCCACATCTCTGAGAAATGACAGACAGAATGAATGGGGAGAAGCAAATGCGTGGAAAGATCATTTTATCCAACAAAGCATTCATCTCAGGCCCAAGGAAGGGTGTACAAGGAAGGGTGTGTTTAGCACTTAGCTAGAGTCCAGAACATGAAATATAATCATGTCCCCACCTCCCCAAACAACTGATAATTCCACTTATGATGCCTCCTCCAGAAAGCCACACTGGCCTGAATATAAAAGCCAAGTATTTAAGACAGGCAGCTTACTATGGAGTTGGTACTAGTCTCCTTGGTCCCTCATTTTGTGACTCAGGGCAGGGCACCTCCATGTGCCCAGAGCCTTCCTCTGGGATGTGGAGACATGGGTGTTGAGTCATCACTTAGCATCTGAGGATTTTCTCCTGGGTGCTTGGGGACATCAGAGTCTACAGGGATCATATTTGCATAAAATTCACATACATTCTCTCTCTCTCTTAACGACATTTTTAGGTCACCTATAATGCTCAGTATAGTGTAAAAGTTATATAACTAGTTGTCATACTGTATTGCTTACAGAAGAATGACAAGAAAAATGCCTGGGACTAGCAAGATGGCACTTGCTGCAGACACTGACAACCAGAGTTTGACTCCCAGGACCCACACAGTAGAAAGAACAAATGTCTGCATTATCCTATGACCTCTACAAAAGCACCATGGCACATGCATGTACTCAAAAGCTCTCGTGCATGTGTCCATGCAAGATTTTAAATGTTACAAAAAGAGGGGGGAGATGTCTTTACATGTTCAGATACAATTTCTTTTATAGGGTTCAGGATTTATTAAAGAAGATGGGGTGACCGAAGGTGGAAAGAAGAACCTAGGCTAGGGTTGCAAGAAGATATAATAGAGAATTACATTCTTCAGATGTTAAAATGAAGGAAAGAAGGCCTACGGTCCTGGCTGGAAGGACAAAGTAGCAAGAAGGACCTTCTAAGACCAAAGGTGAGGCCACTGGGAAAGGCTGCTGGGTGCCTATGCTTTTGGCTAGAAGGTTCTTTGAAGTTCAGACAGAGGAAAGCATCTAACTCTTCCCAAAAGAAGAGAACTAAGGATGCCTTTGAATATGTAACAGAGAGTATACAGAAGGTGGGCCTCAGCAGAAGGATGTATCTAAAGTCAGGGCCACAGCAGTTCTGGCCAACTAACCAAGCTGCTTCTCAGGAAGTAGCCAGTGTAAGAACAAGACCCTTCATCACTGTAACTGATTAAGTGCCATTCAGCTCCACAGAGGGAGCAAGCCTGGCTCAGGGATCATCACCTCCATGGACCACTCCCATCAAACACCCTTGGAGTGCCTATCAAGGTGAACCTTGATGATGCTTAGAAAATGCAGGAAAGTCCAGTTCCTGGGGATGGCAAGAAAGACAACAAAACAAACAAACAAACAAAAACCAACCCTACCTCCTTCCAGGCAGAACTGGTAACAAATAAACTTAAGCTACTGAAAAGGAAAATACAGGGCACCCTGCCTGCTTCATTTTAACAACTGATGGTCTGTGTGCCCCCTTCCCACCCCATACCCATTTGCACAATCTCTGAGATGATGGGGGCAAAGTTAATGAAAGATGTTTTTTCCCATGGATTTCTTCTCTCACTCTGTTTTGGTTTTAGGAGAGAAGTAGGGGAGAAATAACAACCAGCTAAGCAAGGTGGTAACCCTGAAATCTTAGCATCTCAGGGGCCGAGACAAGATAAAAAGTCAAGACTATCCTGAGCTACAGAGTGAGATCCTGTCCCCCAAATGGCTCAGTTGATAGTGCACCTGCTGCCAAGCCTGAGAACCTGGGTTCCGTCCTTGGAATCCACATGGGTAGGAAAGAACAGATTCCTTCAATGTTCCGCACCAACCATTTCTGTATTTTAAAAGTATTTAACATGTCTGAATCTCTAGGCATATTCCTGTGTCACTTCCCTCACTTCCAAATGTCAAAGCCTGTCATCTCACCAGCAAGTTACTGCTCCCAACTACTCTAAGTCTTAGACACTGGTAAGTACAAAGCCAGAACAATCAATGGTGGTCACAGCAGCATGCTTGCACTAAACAGACTGGTGGCTCCCAGACAGGCCTGGTTGACAGAAGCTCCTGGGAAGCAAGGACACCTACCAGCGCACTCCTCCAGGGAACATGGAGAGGTCTCAGAGGACATTCCAGAGCAGCTGGGTCTGGAGGGGAAAGGAGAGAGACACGCACGGCGGCGCCCTCGGACAGCATCCCCGCACGTGGTACTACACGGACTCCACGGCTGCCATGGTCCCCAAGTTTCTGCAAGGATATAAGTCACGCTTTTAGTGCTGATTCACTTGAGAGTCGGGATTTCACTGCACCCGAATGAAGCAGCGGAAGTCAAAGCTCTGGTCTTAAAAGGCAAGAAGTTAAAAAAAAAAAATCTCATAAATGGAAAAATCTGTTAGTCTTAATATCTCAAAACAAAGAAAAGCCGCATAGACTATAAACTCTTAGCTAGTCTTAGAGTTCCTACAACCCGCCAGAGAGCTGAGGTCACAAGGAAGCAGACCTGCCTGCAGTGAAAGGAAAGTCAGGCCCCTCCAAGAAAAGATGGGGTTGCAATGCTTGTTTTGCTGGGACAGGGTCCAGGATGCGCCCACACGGGCTCCTCAGATAGATACATCTAAAACATAGTGAATTACTCAAAGAGTGGGATGAGAACGCAAAGCCCCTGGGGAAAAGATAAGAAGGGGAATTTGTACCCACATGCTTTCTTCTCTAGGGATCCTCCTAGAAAGACTGAGGTCAAGTGTTGGACTAGACAAAGCTTCCTCATGGTGTCCGAAGAGGGACTAGGTCACAGTAACAAAGCGACATCAAACCTTACCAATCCTTCCTTCCATCTCCTCTAGGGAACAACAGCCTCAGCCACTGAGAAAAACATAGCTAACTATCATGCTGAGAGCATTCACTGAGGCCAGCTGCTGTGACAGACTAGAGAGAGGAAGGTCCTTCACTCTTGGGGAGGAGCTGAAGATGTCCTGCGCCCACACCAACCAAGGTCTTCCACTGCTACAGATCAGAGAGGCCTGCCTCATCCTCGAGCTTCAGATACACAGCACTTGTTTCAGATGAGAGAGGAGCACCCCGAGATGGTAAATTAAGTACCAAGTAGTTTAGTATCAGCAATTAGTAATACCTTCAGGTTCGTAATTTAGGTGCCAAGTACCAAATTTCAACACCTTGGTGCCTGTGTAAGGCAAGAGCTAGAAGCATTATGGCTCAACAGGTTCAGGTGCTACCAAGCCTGAAGATCTGAGTTCAACCTCTGGAATCTACATAGAAAGCCTACAGATGCTCACTGATGTCCACATGGGTGCCAAGACTGACAAGGGAAGGTAGAACAGAAAGATGAAGATCCCATCTGCAGCACAATAGTTGCCTGAAACACGAAGTAACACTGCCAGAGAGTGAAATCCTGGATTCAGCAGGAAGGATGTCAGACCAATGTGAACAACCCAAACATGGCCCAATCCCTTATACATTAACCCAAAACCCACAAAAAATAGCCTATTGAAAGAAGAAGTGAAACTATTTCTGGGACTAAATTACATTTGCCTCGGTGTCTACAATTTTAGACAATCCTGATATGTATTTTTAAAAAAGCAAGAAAAAAAATAATCAATAAAACCAGATAAGATATGACACAAATATTAGGTGTATTAGAAACAAAATTAAAAAGACCCATGACTAGTGTGTTAAATTAAACATTAGTGGAAAAGTCAAACAAGATAAATACACACATGAAAATGTACCACTAATGGAGGCTGAAAAGACTAACAGAAATGCTAACGCCACAAAAATACAGTGGTGAAGATAAAAAATGCCTTCCACCAGCTCCCGGTATAGTTGACACACTTAAAGAAAGTAAATATGAATATAGGTAATTAGAAACAACCCAAATGGAAACATAAAGATATCTCTGAGTAGAGTAGATACATACAAAGCACAGGTTGGAGTTTGGCACACACCCCAACCGCACCCTGTGAGGCAGTATTGGGAGGTTAGACCTAATGGAAAGTATTTAGGTCCTAAGGGCTCTGCCAAGATGCTAATTAATCTCATCCCAAAGGATTTTGCCTTTTTCTCTCTCTGTCTCTGTCACTTTCTCCTTTTCTGTTATTACCCTGATGACATAACAGAAAGAGAGAATTACTTGAAAAGATATGTCTTAAAATTGCCCCAAATAATTAAAGATACTAGAGGACAAATTCAAGATGCTCAGAAAACATCAAGTAGGAAATCATGCAAAAGAAAATAAAAACAGAGAAAGATGACTTGATGGATAAAGGCACTAGTCATGTAGCCTGGAAGCCTGAATGCCATCCCCAAAACTGGGGCAAAGGTAGGAGAGAACAGACACAAAGTTGTCCTCTGGCCTCTTCACCTGCGGGATGATACACATGTGTCCTGGCTCCCAGGCAAAAATTATTAATATCTTAAAATTTTAAGCGCTGCTGGATGTGGTGGCACACACCTGTGATCCCAGCACTCAGGTGGGCAGATCTCTGTGAGCTCGAGGCCAGCCTGCTCTACAAAGCGAGTTCAGGACTACCAAGGCTACACAGAGAAACCCTGTCTCAAAAAAAAACAAAACAAAAAAAAGGGGGGGGCGGGGCTGGTGAGATGGCTCTGCTGGGGAGTCACCTACTGTCACCTTGGACCAACATGGTGAAAGGAAAGCACCAGCTCCCACAAGCTGTTCTCTCACCTCAACCTGGGTGCTCCAGCATGATCACACACCACACAGGTCTGTTGTGTAAGAATATTGAACCCTGCAGGGCTTCTCTTACCCAGCTACCTCCCAAATAATCGAGACAGAGACCTCTTGCATTTATAACAGCTTTAAAGCACAGTAACTGGGCAGGTATCAACCGTCTAAGCTCCTTTTCTATTTCCCATCTACACATCCCATGCTAGTTACCTTAATGGTTCCTATGTGGGCTGCTTCTGTTCTATCAGGCCAGCCCCCATGACCATACTGCCCCATGGTGACTTCCTATATCTTCTCTTCCTCTCTCCTCTCCTTTCCTCCCAGGCTCCAAGCCCAGGTACCTCAGCCCCACCTATTTCTCTTCTGTCCAGTCACAGGCTCCAGCAACTTTATTAACCAATCAACTTTAAATTGGGTAGAGCAAGGCTTTCAGGACAAAGACGGTGTACATGGGGATGTCCTCATTTGGGCATCAACCAGATCTTGGAGGCCAGTAATTATCATTAGAATACATAGCACCAGACCAACCCACAACACATGTCATACATGCAATGAAACTTTTTTTCATTTTTTTAAAATGAAAATTTCGAAAAATATCAAACTCTGGAGCAGTGGCTCAGCAGTTGCATACTGCTTATGCAGAGCACCTGTGTTCTGCTCCCAGCACCCACACAAAGCAGATCCCAACTGCCTGTCTCTCTAGCTCCAGAGGGACCTGCAGCCTCTGGCCCATTGGCTGCTCAGTTTCCAACTAGGTTTCCTAGTAAGGGGAACAGAGGCTGTCTCTGACATAAACTCAGTGGCTGGCATTTTGGTCACCTCCCCCTGAGAGATACAGCCTTGCCAGGCCATAGAGGAAGATGATGCACCCAGCCTTGATGAGACCTCATAGGCTAGGGTCAGAGGGAAGGGAAGGAGGTCCTCCTCTTTCAGTGGACTGGGAGAAGATGGAGGGAGGGTGGGACTGGGAGGAGAGAGGGAAAGGGATGCAGAGGGGATACAACGTGAATAAACTGTAATAAATAAATATATAAATAAAATTAAAATAAAAAATCTTCAATCTATTTACAAAAAACAAAAGAGTAAAACAAAACAAAGATCTAATGGAAGAAATTTAAGCCCAGAAAAACGGACTTTAATCCAAACATGTAATAATAATACTAAACATAAATTACATAAACATACCAATTTAAAAACACTGAGATTGTTAGATTGGATTCAAATTTTGACATGACCCGTGTGTGTGTGTGTGTGTGTGTGTGTGTGTGTGTGTGTGTGTGTGCTATTTGAAATCAAGAACTCTATTTACATAAACACATATAAATATGTATAATACATAAAAAGATGTGTAGGTTAAAAAGTAAGAGGGTAGAAGAAAATATACCTTGTGAAAAAGAAAATGGAGTGCCTATATTAACCCAAGACAAAGCTGATTGTAGTACCAAGAATATTTCCTGGACACAGAGGAACAACACTGGACAAATAGGTCAGTTTACTCTTAGCATTCCTAACGGCAGACCCACCTATACACAGAACCTCAGAGTGTGCGCCAACTCCCCCCAAAACCGTTTTCTCCCTGCCCTTCCAGGCCCTGTGACGGAACCCAGAGCCTCTGGCACACCAGGCAACTCCTCTATACTGAGCTACAGCCTCCAAACAAGAAGCTGTTGATGAACTCAAACTTCTCCTCGAAGCAGATATGACATCACTGCCACACATAATAACTTATTTCGTATTGAGAATGAATCCAAATCCTTCTCCATCCATATCCACCCAACCCCAGGATCTGTCAGCTCTCGCCAGCACTAGGAATCCTCTGTGTAACAATGTCTCTTCATCACCACGGACAAAAACATCTAACCCGGCTACACGTACACAAAGCTCTGCAAAACAGTAAGGAACATTTGTAGGGCAGGTGTGTTCTCGGGGGAGCCGAGTGGTGCAATCTCTGGAATGAGTCATGGAATATGAGTTCGTTAAGGTAATTAAGGCTCTGAGGATTTTCACAAGAGTATGGGCATTAGAAATGAGAATCATGGACCGACGTCAGCTGAGGTGTGGTAATGATATTCCATACCGAGGTCCAACTGAGCACAATATTGGCTCTGTGCCTCCGGGAGCACACAATGGCTCGTCCCACAGAAGAACAATGAGCTGGCTTTGTCTGCAAGGCTCCTGAGCAGCTCAGTCAGTGAGCGGCCCCGTGCCTGTAAAGCTCTGGGAATCTCCGCTGAAAGCCTCTCTGTGTTCACCTGATGTGATTTAGTTCCTAAAACTCTACCAGGTGTTCTATGACTGTAAGATCTAAGTAGAAAATTAGCTCAACAGCCAGTTGATTTATCCTTTTCTTGTGTTCCTGTTTAATACCTCCAAATGGAGAGTTAACAAAGACAATGTTCCTCTTGTTTCTTTAAACATACCAATTAAAAGCTCAAGATTGTTAAATTGGATTAAAAAAAACATGACCCAGCTATATGCTGTTAAAAAAATACTTTTGACTTTTTTTGACTTTTTTTTGTAAATATAAGTGTAATTTACTTAAATACATAAAGTCATGTGTGAACTAAAACCGACAATTCCCATAGTGGGGACCAGAAAAGAGAAAATCAGTTTTGATAAAAACATGAATCTTTGATATAAAGAGAAAAAAAAATCTCATTTAAAAATAATGTGTTCGGGGCTTAGGAGATGGCTTATTGGGTGAGAACTTTTGTTGTGAAAGCAAGTAAGCCTGAATCCAAATCCATCCTTGGCCACTTGTGCCTGAAGTTCTAACTCTGACACTAGTGAACACAGGAAAACCCCAGGGACCTGGTTAGCCAGCCCAGCTGAATCAGAGTTTCAGCTCAGGAAGAGACCCTAGTTCAAAAAATAGCAAGAGAAAGAAGGTGGAGAGCATTAGAGGAAGATGCTGGAAGGAGGCACCTTCTCATCAAAAAGGCCAGCGCTCACACATACACACACATGCACATCCACCGTGCAGACGCTGTGCTGTTCCCCCTTGGAAGTAAAACCATGGCCCAAAGAACAACAAAAAGCAACCATTTAAATGATTTTTTTTAAATCAAAATAACTAAGTGGGAATTACCTCAGCTGGATTAAAGCAATGATTGAATTTACATGGGAAAAATATTTAAACACCGTAAGCTTCAGAGCCCTTAAGATAATAAACAAATTTGAATAAAATACTCTAGTAGGAATTCATTAGACATCTATGGTCCCACACATCACAGCTGAAGAGCAAAATGACCACTATTCCAAATAGTTGTTCTTCGTGGATGAAAGGTTATTTTATTTGGTCCTCTTTAGATGTCCATAGATACAAGCACACTTTAAAAGAAGCTTCTTCGGCCCAGGTAAAATGCCCTTCCAGCCACCACAAGAGATGACAATTCTGAATGAACAGAACTTGTCTGGAAGGTGAGAAGAAAAAACTGTTTCTGTCTCTGAGACGATTTGAAGGACACAGCTAAGGAAACACTGACGTTTATAAGACACTGTGCTCCAGAGACCAAGGTCACTAAACAAAACGCGCTGAGAAGAAATCCCCCAGGCGAGAGTGAGAGTCACGGACACCTGGGAAAGCAGCTGGATTTTCTTTGCGCAGAGCAAGGCTCATGTCTGTTGAACAAATCCTGCGCATCCCTGGTTGTTGGACAGATAAACAGCTACAGTTCTTTCGAAGAGGCTGCATAGTACAGGATAACTGTGGGGAAAAAAAATAGCAGGATCTTTCCCAAGAGAAAAGCATTTTATTGTCTTACGCAGGAATCGACAATATGGAAGGTGGCGACAGAATAGTGGTAAAAGCTACTGTCAGGCGGGTCTGGGTTTAACCTCTGGGTTTCGCTTGTTCTGTGGTGCTGAGAATAGAACCCAGGGCAAATGCACTGCGGCTGAGAGATAGCCTCAGTTTGCAGTCTACTGGCTGTGAGCTCTGACGCCTCACTCACACAGCCTGAGTGAATTGCTTTGCTTTTCTGTGCCTTCACTTCCTCATCTACAAAGCTCGCAACACAGCGGGCCTAAGCTCCAGGATTATAAGGCCCAAACAGGTTAATAGTCACAAAAAGCATTTAGAACAGTACCAGGGACAAAGAACACAAGTCCCTTGGGGACAAATTAATCGTGTAAAGACCATAAGTCCTGTTTTCGCAACATCCAACATGTATCCTAGGGTCCTAAGACATATTTAAAAGAGGAGGCAGACATTAATACACTATTCCTTTAAAAAAAGGACTAACAAGAGATTCAGTGACTAACAGAAGAGTTGCAGTGAGGAGGCCAGGGAGAATTTTGGGTAAAGGGTGGCTACAGGAGGACCTGTCCCCAGCATCCATGTGAAAACCTGGGAGTCATTTCTCAGGAGCCACCCAGCTTGTTTTTGTCTGAGACATGATTTCTCACCAGATCCTGGGACCTCTCCATGAGCCTAGACTGGTTGGCAAGCAAGCCCCAGAGCTCCCTGTGCTTACACCTCCCCAGGTCTCCACCCCTGTAGACTAGTGTTCATGGTGCTGGAAGGTACCCTGCACATTACCAAAGGAGAAAGGGAAACATCGACACAGCTACAAAAGCTTCGATCTGCCATGGTGATCCGACTGCAAGATACGCTAGTGCGACAGCGGCACAAAGGTCCTGGGAGCACCCAACCAATGTCTTCTTTGATCTAAGGCCCACCCCATGAGATGGAAGCCACACCTTACACTGTGCGGGTAAGGAAGAACCTGAGACCAGACAGTCCGGGGGCCTAGGAGGAAAGAAGGATTGTAGCAATAAAACGAGTACAGCATTCCGCTAGACTCACGGCTTGCACAGCCATCATCAGAGAAGCTTCCTCCTGCAGCAGATGGGAACAAACACAGAGACCCACAGCCAGACAATAGGCAGAGAATGAGAGGCCTTGGAACACTCAGCCCCAAATGGGATGTCCCCATCAAACCCCTCCCCATAAAGCTAGGGAGTTTGCAGAAGATAAGATGGAAAGACTGTAAGAGCCAGAGGGGATCAGTGAACACAGTAGGACAGGTGCCCATAAGAACCCACAGAGACTGAAGCAGCACACGCACAGGGCCCGCAAGGATCTACACCAGATGGGGGTCCGAGAGCTCAAAGGAGACGTGGTCACATGCTCCGCCCTAACCCAGAAGCTCTCTCCAGCTGATAACCACTTGCAAATGAAGAATTCCGTTTTCTCCAAGGGCGTCTCACTGGGGAAACAAACCGCTCTTCAGGGAAGGCCCCATGGCCAGCAGTAGATGGACAATACAAAATGAACTCAAAAGCTTCCTTGGAGGTTCTTTGCCTCATAATGTTAAGTCGAGCAAGAGAGGGGCTCATGAGCCTCCATCACCAGCTGAAGAGCTACTGATGGTTAATGGTTTTGGGGGGAAAGAGAAAACCTAGAGAGGTTATGTGAATCTGATTGCCAGGCTAGTCGTATGGTGCCGCAGCCTCCAACAAGTGCTACACCCATAAGCCACACCCATACTCAACTGACTATGGACGGAAAGCATTCAGGAAAAATACTGCATCTGTCCTGAATGCGTCCAGACTCTGTTCTTGGCACTGTCCCAGAAGCAATGTGGAATACCAACTACTTACCCAGGATGACATTGTAATGCTTTACAAGTAACCTAGAGATGCCTTGGGGCTTACAGGAAGCGGCCTGTAGGTTTTGTATGAATAGTATGCAATGTTGAAAATCAATAGCCAATCTCCCACAGAAACTGAAGGATGAATACGCTCTTCATTTTTCAGAGAAAGACAACAACGCTAATTGGTACTGCCTGGAGAATGAACAAATCGCAAACACCATGGTTCACCTAGATCCTATCGATGTTGATTACATGAAGGCACTGACTTGATTTTTATAAATGCTGAGAAATCTCAATACCAACCTATATTTCTCTGAATTAGCATGCACTCCGTTGCAGAAAAACGGCCTTTCCTCAAAATTCCAAAGTTAAAGCAGTATTTGTTCTTCCCCACATCAAACAAGGTGCAGTTAAATACTGTTCTCCTCTCTCCCAGGGGCAGGCTGTTCTCAGCCAGCTGCAAAGTCCTCTCCTCCGGGCGTCTGGGGGCTTCTTTGTAAACGGCAAGCACTCCCTGGACAAAGACACAAGGAGGTGGCAGTACCATCACCTCCACCACAGACTCACACATGACTTCCGGCGCCATCATCAATTTGTATCCGAATTTTTGGGCCAGGTCAATTGGTCCCGTGGAAGCAACGACCGCATCTTGGCCCAGCAGCTTCAGCACCACCGTGACATAGGCTTCCACCCCGATGGGTGCACAGCCAAACTCAACCCACTGGGCAGGAGTGAGTTTTGTCCTTTTGCTGGCTCTGATCTCCATCGGCTGTTCCAAACTCGTCTTCGCCTCAGGAAGACGGTCGGTGAAAATAACATCCACCAGCATGTCCGGCTTGTCCGCAGGAAACAGGCAGAGCGGCTGTGTGGTAAAAAGGCCCACCTGGAAGGTGCCTTCTCCTGCCTCGGCTGTCCTGTTCAAATCGATGTGAAAGACGGGCCACTCCACCTTCAGAAAAGCACTTCTGTCCCAGCGGGGAACTTGCGTGCTATTGTTTGTCGCTTCTGGGATCATGACAAACCAGTAGTCACCAGCCTCCTTGAAGTAGAAGCATTCAAACTGGAGTGTTCCCTGGGACTGGTTGGTCAGGAGGTACTTAGTGGTAAGAGTCCGATTGGTACCGGCTTCCCACAACATGACAGACACGTTCCTCGGTGTCCCGCCAACGTCACCAAGATAGTGAAATCCCACTGACACTGTTCGGTCACTCAGGGCAACATGGACTGGCTCTGTCAAGACGAGGTAGTCAGCTTCTCCGAGGACTGAAAAGAAATGGTCAGAATTGGGTTTAAGAGGGTGCATTTGAGTAGGACTATTGATGATGCAAGGAAAACAGCTTCTTAGACACTAGAGAGCGGGGAACCAAGCCAAGGATGTCGTAGAACGTAGAGATAGAATAAAAAACTCACAATTTGGGGGGGCTTAAAATTCAGTGCCGCTCATTTCTTACTTTAATCATTTTCTGGTGTTTAATTATTTGAGGGAAATAGATAGACAACAGTTAGAGAATGTTCGACTTAAGTGGCACAATACAAACTTATTTAAAATGTAAGATACTGAACTTCTCTTCAAAGTAACTGCTGTCCAATATTCAAGATAGGCATTTAGAAATCTTTACCAGTAAAAGAACTAGTGTTCTCCCTGTGGGTGAGGAGGGAATTTTCAGGTGGATGAAAATTATGTACTTATTCTTCACTGGTCACCCATAAGACCATGAACATTTCTGAAATAACTAGGCAAGTCCTTGGCAACTTTAATGACATTACAGCAACGGGCACTGGCATCGATGGAAGGGATGACTACTAATTTCCCAAGTACCATTCAGTTATGATCAACCATATCTTTTAAAAAGGGACCCAGCCGAGCAGCTGAAAGGGGTACAAAGAATGCAGACACATAAGAATCTTTGTTTCTTTTCTGAACTGGATCCAAATACATATCAAAGCAGGCAGAATTTGGCAAGGCAACAATCAGTGGGCCCATGGCTGGGTAAGGCATTCTTCTATAATGAAAGAACCTACAAGACCACTTTCTGCTCTGGAAAAAAATGTTGTATGATTAAAAATTTATTATTCTTACTGCATATAGCCATCCACATGTACTATATACATATCATATTGTGCATGCCTAGAGGGGTTCATGCATTTTTTGTTCACACTTACCATTCCTAAACTCCCCTTATCTATACTTAATCAATGTGAGTTGAGGGAGGCATGTACTAGTGGCCAATGAGATGCCTTCAATTATCACAGGCTAAACAAGGAATTAAAAGACAAAAGTAAATTAAAAGATTTTAAAAAAAAAACTTGGGGGATTATGGCCAACTGTTGGGCAGAGTGCATGGAATCTTATGTACGAAGTGGGAAATAGTAAGATCTGGAGAGGACAGGAACCCCACAAGGAGAGCAACAGAACCAGAAAATTTGAACACAGGGAACTTCCCAGAGACTCATACTCCAAGTACCAGGCATGGAGATAACCTAGAACCCCTGCACAGATGTAGCCCATGGCAGTTTAGTGTCCAAGTGGGTTCCATAGTAATGGGAAGAGGGACTGCCTCTGACATGAACTGATTGGCCTGCTCTTTGATCACCTCCCCCTGAGGGGGGAGCAGCCTTATCAGGCCACAGAAGATAACAATGCAGCCACTCCTGATGTGATATGATAGACTAAGATCAGAATGAAGGAGAGGAGGACCTCCCCAATCAGTGGACTTGGGGAGAGGCATGCGTGAAGAAGGGAGAGGGAGGGTAGGACAGGGAGGGAGGAGGGAGGGACTTATGGGGGGATACAAAGTAAATAAAGTGTAATTAATAAAATTAAATTAAATAAAAAAAAGAAAAAAACTTGGGGGAGGGTGACTAGGCTTCTCTGTATATCCTTGGCTGTCCTAGACTCACTTTGTAGACCAGTCTGGCCTCAAACTCACAGAGATTTGCCTGCCTCTGCCTCCCTGAGTGCTGGGATTAAAGATAAGCACCACTGCACATGTCTCAAAAAATTTTAAGTGTGTGTGTGTGTGTGTGTGAGAGAGAGAGAGAGAGAGAGAGACAGACAGACAGACAGACAGACAGAGAATGTATGTATGTACACACAGATGCCAAAAAGGCCAGGCACACTGGATTCCCCTGGAGCTGCAGTTCCAGGTGCTGCACAGCGCCTAACATGGATGCTGGGAATGTGACCGGAGTCTTCTTACTTGCTATTCACTGCTGGACCATCTCTCCAGCCCCACTAAAGTCATTTTAATTTAAATTTGAAATGGACAGGGTGGTTCTCTAGTGCATCTTAAAATAAAGGGGCACATGTCACTTTGTTAATGTCCTAGTTAGAGTTTCTATTGCTGTCATAAAACACCATGACCAAACCAATTTGGGGAGGAAAGAGTTTATTTCAGCTTATAACTGAAAAACTTATTCTGGTGTTTAGATATTTGGGGGGATAGATATACAACAGTTTGAGAACATTTGATTTAAATGGCAATACAAACTGCTCTAGATTATTTAAAATGTTAGATGCTTAACTTCTCTTCAAAGTTATTATTGTCTGATATTCAAGATGAGTACTTAGGAAGTTTTACCAGTAAAAGAACCAGTGTTCTCTGCTGGGGTGAGAAGGAAATGATGTTTTATTTTATCCATCACGGGTGGATGGGAGATGTTATTTGCTTATTCTTCATCGGTCATCCGTAATAGCATGAACATTTCTTAAGTAACAGGAACGTCATGCTCTATCACTGAGTGAAGTCAGGGCAGGAACCTGGAGGCAGGAACTGAAGCAGAGGCCAGGGAGGGTTGTTGCTTACTGGTTTGCTCCTCATGGCTTGCTCAGCCTGCATTCTTGTATAACTCAAGACCACCTGCCCAGGGCTGGCACCACCCACAGTGGGCTGGACCTTCCCACATTCATCATTAATCAGGAAAAATGATCTACAGACTTGCCTATAGGCCAGTCTTACGGAGGCATTTTCTCATTTCAGAGTCCCTCCTTCCAAATGACTCAAGCTTGTGTCGTCATGATGACACAAAACTAATCAACACAGTTAACTAACAAGAGTGGGCTGTTTTGTTTGTTTTGTTTTGAGCTAGGGTTTTTTTTTGTAGCAATCCTCCTGCCTCTATAGCCATGCACAATGCATGCATCGTGCCCAGTGATCCAGAGTCTATTTTAAATGACAGAGATTGTCAATGAGGCTGATCAGATTCAGATTCAATGGGAGCCAATTTATGAAAGCAACATACACATCCAGAGAAGCAATGGACGGGTCCCGGTGGGAGCAGATGCAGAAGCATTTAAGGAAGAACTTTGCTATTATGCCCCAGAATTCCTGTTCGTAGGGCTGAGGAGACAGTCTCATTCTAAAAACTACAGTCTGGTCCTTCCACATCCTAATACTACTCAAGTGTTCTGTTTTGTTTGTTTCTTCTGTTCTTTCATTTTCTTCTCTCCCACTTATCACAGAATTTAAAGCAACTGGTATATTCGTAAAAGCATGTGTATATACACACAGGTGGGTAACCCGTAGTGATAGGATTTCATCTATCAAAACAAACAAACAAACAAACAAACAAACCCTTAAGAAATTAGCTTTTTTTTGAGAGGCCTGGTGGCATGCAGCTTTAATCCAGTGACCTGGAACCATAGACATCACATTAATTAAGACTCTGTCTCAGAAGAAAGAAGAGAGGTAAAGCAACGTGTAATATGCTTGTTTCCGTTTAATAGTAGTGAGGGTTTTTTTTAAGAGTTAAAAATACATTTAAATAGAAATTGGAATCAACCGGGCAAAATCCCCCAGAGTACAGTACTTCCAGAGAGGCCAGGGTGCCAAGGCTATGGCTTCAGGGGAGTTCAGATGGGCCCCTCTGCCTCTCCCACGCAGGATCACTAACGCCAGTGCATGTGTCTCCCATTGAGACCAACGGCTCGATGCATGCTCACCACACTCACCATAGTCACAGAGCACCACCAGCAAGAGATTTGAAAAGTCTTTCAGCATTGGTTTCATTCTGATCAGTAAAATCCCAGGCCTTTAGTCTCCTCATGTCCTTTCTCACATCAAAATGGTTGGCTCTTTTTCTTTTTTTCCAAAAGCACCTGAAATTAGAAACTCAAAATTGAAGACTCTGTTTAACATGATCAATAGAACCATAAAAACCACAAATGGCATTTGTTCACAAAACCACAAAGCCAGGGACTGGATAGATGGCTATGGTTGACAACATCCATAAATGATAATGATGACGATGATAATGATGATTTTTTTTTTAATGGAAAACTCATTCTTCTAAGAAGTCAAACTTTCTAGGCAGCATTAAAGGAAAGGCAGAGAAGGCATTAACTTTCCCTGGAGCAAAAGCCTATAATTACCTAGTCTAGAACATTCAGGCGTACTCAATGCCAAGATTATCCTACAAAACATCTTACACCTTTGTAGCATATCCTTTAGTGGAGAGGGTGTGTTATTTGTTTAATTGTCACAAAGCCAATAGCTAATCTGGGTAACATACTTTTACACTGCTTATATGTTTAGCATTTCACACTGATCAATTTAATAAAAGTCTCCAATTTTTCATTTAGTACTGTACTATGTATACACAAATCCTCTGAACATGGCTCTCACAAATGGATTATTAATATTTGATTGCAAGTTGGTATGTTTATCTGGTTGCTTTCTTTCTTGATTCTTAGGAGCTATGCCCAAATGATGAGTTCCTCTGAAAAGATACTCAGTCCACAAGGACAGCAGCAGAACCAAGAAATCTGGGCCCAGGGGTCTTTTCTGAGACCGACTATCAGTCTAATTTACACTCAGTTTAATTTTAAAAAAAGAAAAGATAGTTGTTGTAGCTGACTATTAATTTTTACTATTGGTTTATCTTTTATTAAAGCTGCTGTTAATCCTAAACAGCTGTATAACCGAATCACCACACAGAGACTGGGATTTATTTAATTAACCTAGAACACAATGCTGGGCAACAGTTACTCCATCCTAAACCTCCAAGCCCTTTAGTTCCTAATATTTATATTTCCCATATTATATTTGCTTTTAGTGATATATTAGGTCCAGTCCATCTCTCCACGTTGTTCCAAGATCTCTCCTCCTGCCTCTGTTCTCCCAGCCCTCCTCCACCTCCCACCTTCCTGTCCTCTGGCTCCTCCCTCTTTTCCTGCTTCCTTTCTATTGCTCAACATTGTGGCTGGTTGTTTATTTTGGCATGTTTACACAAAGTTGAGAGAGGTGATGCTTAGAATAAGTATCACAATGCAATGTCTGGATTGAAACCAGAGAGTAGGGGGAGAGAAACCAGCATTTGAATGAACAAGGGTAAAGTGTATACATTCCAAAAGAATATTATACCAACGGATACTCAAGACAGTCGTCTGGGATCCAAGTGGCCTATGATCTGCTTTTTCCATACAGAGTGCTCTTAGGCCTGTCACTACATACCAGCCTGGGCCCCACCTCCCAGCCTGTTCCATGCCCATGGGATTCTCCTGCTGTACACCCCTCACTCTTTCCTGCCACTCCTTTCATCCATTCCTCCAAGCCCATCTCTTTCCTTTAGAAGCTGGGACCCATACCTGCCACACGTGGTGGGACTCAAGGACCCCACAACTAGATGAGGTCCCACTAGATGAGGACCCAGATTGGTGCAACTGCAACCGAAGAGCGGAACATCATCCAAAAGGGCGAGATCAGATATCTACAACGGGAAACATGCAAGCAGCCAAGACAACAGCACCCCCAGATGCCAGGAACCCTACTACAGTAGGCCCTGAGAAAAGAAATTTAGCTGGAAGACAAGGACTTCAAAATAGCAATTATGAGCATGTTCAAGTATCATAAGAAGATATAAGTAAATGCCTTCATGAAAACACAAACAGTTGAATGAACAATTAAAGACATAAAAGTAGAATTTAGCAAAGAAATAGAATACCCAAAATGAAATAAAACTTAAAGTATACTCAAGAAAGCAAACAAAAAGCACAAAGTTAAACCTCACTAACAGAGCAAAAGTCAAAGAAAGGAAAATTTAGAGCTTGAAGACAAGGTAGAAGAAATGGATAGCTCAGTCAAAAAAAAAAAAGTTAAATCTAAAAAACTCTAGGCACAAAATGTCCATGAAATGTAGGATACTATGAATAGGACAAATCTACAAATAATAAGTACAGAAAAACAACAAGAAACCAGATGAAAGGCACAGAAAAATCTATATTTTTTTACAAAATCACAGAATATCTCCAGTCCAAACAGACTGAAAGACAAAAACCACGTGGGCATGTCATTTGATGCAGAAAAGGCCTCTGACAAAATCCAACATCCCTTCATGATAAATGGTCTGGATAATCTAGGGAATACAAGACATACCTCAGCATAACAAAGGCAAAGTATCATAACCCCATAGCTACCATCTAACTAAATGGAAAAAAAAACACAAAACATTTCCACAAAATCAGAAGGAAAAAAAAAAAAAAAGACAAAGCTGTCCACTCTTTCCATTCCTGTTTAATATTGTACTTGAAGTCTTAGCTGGAGCAATAAGACAACCGAAGGATCTCAAGAGAATACAAATAGGAAAGGAAGAAATCAAAGTGTCTTTATTTTGTTTGGTTCTGTAAGTAAAATATCCAAAAGATTCCACCAGAAAATTCTACAGCTGCTAAACACATTCAGAACAGTAATAGGACACAAAATTTACTTACAAGCCGGCCGAGGTGGCACACACCTGTAATTCCAGCACTTGGGGAAGAAGGGTCAGGCAGATCTCTGTGAGTTTGAGGCCAGCCTGGTTTACAAAGCGATTCCATGACAGCCAAGGCCACACAGAGAAACCCTGTTTTGAAAAACCTCGCCATGATCAAAAGAAAGCTGGGGAGGAAGGGCTTTATTTGCCTTACATTTCGACATCATAGCTCATCAGCAAAGGAAGGCAGGACTCTTGGGGCAGGACTCAAAGAGCAGGAACCTGGAGGCAGAAGCTGATGGAGGCCATGGAGGGGTCCTGCTTACTGGCTTGCTCCTCATCATTGTTCCACTAGGCGCCCAGGGATGGCCTCACCCATAATTGTCTGGGCCCTCTTCCACCAATCACTAGTTTAAAAAATGCTCTACAGCTGGATCTTATGGAGGCATTATTCTCAACTGATGCTCCTTCCTTTCGGATAACTCTAGCTTGTGTAGAGGTAACATAAAACTAGCCAGCACATATATACTACATCTATTTATCTATCTATGGGAAACAATACCTTTCACAGTAGCCCCCTCTCTTAAATAAAATATTCTGGGATAACTCTAACCAAGCAACTTTAAGACATTGAAGGAATAAACTGAAGATATCAGAAGATGAAAAGATCTTCCATGCTCATGGTAGTGTTAATGTAGTGAAAATGGCCATCTTACTAAAAGCAACCTACAGATTCAGTGCAAACCTCATCAAAACTCCAACACAATTCCTCACAAAAATTGAAAAAAACAAAAAAACAAAAAAAACCCAACTTAAACCTCATGTGGAAACACAAACACCAGGATAGCTAAAACAACCTTAAATAATAAGAACTGCTGAAAATATAACCATTCCTGATCCAAGTTCTATTAATAAACTGTAGTAATAATAATCAGCATGTTATTTGCATAGAAATAGACATGTTGGTCAACGAATTAACTAGAAGACCCGGACATAAGCCCACACACCTATGGACACCTAAGTTTTGATAAAGAAGCTAGAAGTGCACACACTGGGGAAAAAAAAATAGCATCTTCACCAAGTGGTGCTGGTCAGAGGGACAGCTGCATGTAGACCCATAGCTATTACTTTAACAAAAATTTAAATCAAAATGGATCAAGAACCTTAACACAAGACCATATATCTGAATCTGACAGAAGCAGAGGTGGGGAATAGTCTTGAACTCACTGGCAAAGAAAGGACTGTCTGAACAGGACCAACATTTTTTCTCATATATATATATATTTTTCTCATATATATATATATATTTTTGTCATACAATATTCTGATCATGTTTTTACTCCCCCAACTCCTCCCAGATCCTCCTTGCCCACTCATCATTATGTTCTTTTTATTTTTCTCTTTCAAAAACAAAACAAAAAAACAACAACAACAAAAAAAACACACAAAAGACCAATAAGACAAAAAAAAAATAACAAAACAAAATGAAAGTCCACAAAAATGCCGTTGGGTTTATTTTGTGTTGGCCAACAAGATTTTTTTTTTAAGGTTTATTTTTTATGTATACAGGGTTCTGCCTGCATGCATGCCTACAGGCCAGAAGAGGGCACCAGATCTCATTAAAGATGGTTCTGAGCCACCATGTAGTTGCTGGGTATTGAACTCAGGACCTCTAGGAAAAGCAGACAGTGCTCTTAATCACTGAGCCAGCTCTCTAGCCCAGCCAGCAACTTTTAAGCCACTCCTGGTGCTTGAGGTTTTACTTGGTGGCATGAGCTGTCTATTTGGGGCATGGTCTCCTCCCATTATTTGGTGCCTCCTTTTAGATTCCTCTTAGATATGAATATTTGGGAAGCTTCTATGGTATTAGGTTTCCATATCATTTTTTCAGGTGATTTACTCTTAGCTGTCCCTCCACATATTTCCTCTTTTACCCTCCTCGCCCACCCCACTCCAAATTTAATCTTCTTATTCTAGTTTTCCCTTTATTTCTCCAGAAATATCTTCTACTTCCTCTTTCTGAGGAGGTTGTCTCTTCCCTCCTGGTTTCTTACAAGTTACCTAACCTCTGAAGTCATTTATATTACTGAACACATTTTAAAGGCTTACAAGCAAGTATCTCCATATAAAAGAAAACATACAATATTTGTCTTTTTAGGTCTGGATTGCCTCACTCAGGATGATTTTTTTCTAGGTCCATCCATTTACCTTTGAATAATTACACATTTTAACAGATCAATACTATTCCATTGTTTAAATGTTCCACATTTTTTATCATGTAATCATCAGTGGATGGAGATCTAGAACTGTTTCCAATTCCTGGCTCTTATGCATAGAGCAGCAACGGACATGGATGAGCAAGTGGTCTTGAGGAAGAGCAACCTGATGGCGAAGGATGCTGACCATTTA